AGATCGGTACAAACATACAAAAAAAACTAACATTAAGACAATAGACACAAAGCACCGACATAAGAGTATTTGCAATTACTGAAAATTTGCTCAAACCTAATTACAACTATTACTGAAATTAATCTTGTTCTCCCAGATTGAGTTATCAATCAGTACACAACGCGCGGCAAAGGATTTATTAAAAAAAGAAAACAGACTGAAAAACGTTTATAAATATAAGAAGATGTGGTATGAGTGCCGATGAGACAACTCTCCATCCAAGTCATAATTTGTAAATGTAAACCATTAAAGGTCAACGTATACGGTCTTCAACACGGAGCCTTGGCTCAAACCGAACAGCAAGCTATAAAGGGCCCCCAAAAAATTAGTAGTGTAAAACCATTCAAACGGGAAAACCAACGGTGGATTATCTATTTAAAAAAAACCGATATACTTGCATATGAAATAATAAAATCCATATACAATGAAACGGTTTTTGAAAAGTGGACCGAACGTTTTGACCATCGAAATTTTGCAATAGAAATACTAGTTATGACCACAAGATTTTAACAGCCAGTGCAGGACTCGCACGAACGTTAGATTTAGTTAGAGGGGCGATATTCTGACTCGTTTTTTTAATTCTTGGTCACCCATGTTAAGAAAGAAAGGGGAGAAATCCAAACAATTTCCGACCAATCACAAACGTTGTTGCAAATTTGACCTTATGACGTCAAAGAATTTACCATAATGCAATTATTGCATATAAATAAAAAACTACTATACCAATTGAATAAAAAATATTGCATTTGAAAGAAAATTATACCATTTGAATGAAAAAATATACCATTTGGATGAAAAATTATACCATTTGAATGAAAAATTATACCATCTGAATAAAAAATATTGCATTTAAATGAAAAAATATACCATTCAAATAAAAAAATATTGCATTTAAATGAAGAAATATACCAATTAAATAAGAAATATTGCATTTAAATGAAAAATATCAAATTTTTGCAACCAATACCATGCCATAATGATTGCATGTTATATCACTCGAAAAAACCTGATCTACACTCGAAAAAATTGGACCGATTTACTCGAAAAAAAAACACGATCTCAGCCGGACACTATACCTACCGTGAATATGATCAGTTGATTACACAATTTTTTTTAACTATTACATAACTGGCCACCCATCCTTAATGACGATTCTTGAAACGAAGGTGACAATTGTTTATTTGCCTTAATGACGATTCTTGAAACGAAGGTGACAATTGTTTATTTGCCTTAATGACGATTCTTGAAACGAAGGTGACAATTGTTTATTTGCCTTCATAAGGCAACGAATAAGGATAAGAAGAAACGTAATTCACGGTAGGTTTAGTGTCCGGCTGGAATTGTGGTTTTTTGAGTGATCTGATCGGGTTTTTTTCGAGTGTGACCACGTTTTTTCGAGTGAATATGATTAAAAATGTAAACAGACAGACTTCCTTTCTGGCAAGACGTGAAAAAAGATGCTAGAACCTTATATATAAGATCATAGAAGATAAATTATAAAAAAAAAAAAAAAGATATTATCAACCCTTCATTATTTTGTTTCAAAAACGTTTAATATGGCCTTACAATGATTTATTCCAAAATATAGATTAAAGACATTTTTATACACAAACCAATGCAAATGTCAAAGGAAATGCCTACATGAAATCTATATATACTTAAATATACAGACACTTTTAAAAAATTCTTGTTTTTGCATTGAAAAGGACATTTTGGAGAGAAAAATTCATCTTTATATGTCCGTTTTTTTCTAGAGCAGTCCGTGTTTTTTCGAGTGCGTCCTTGTTTTATCGACTGAAAAAACATAATTCCTATGGCTTAAAATGTACTATGTCAGTGCATTTACGTTTAAAAAACAATGAAAAGGTTCAAATAAAGTACGTTTTAAAGCACGAAACAAATAAATTGGCATCGTTCATTTGCATTCAGAAATCTTCATGTTAGTGTACCGATATAAGTTTCATACAGTAAATATTTCGTCATTTTTTGGGATGTATAAATACACATCCACGTTCATTTTCTATATATTTATTAACAGGTTAACTCCTTACTATCCTACTGCCTGTCGATACTTTTATTTTGGCATTGCACAAGTCATGTCTTCTTTGACTGTCCATGACGTTAAAACATTAAATCCCTGGGATGTGTTTTAGTTGATTTTAGTCTCTGATGCATAATTTTTTTATTATTAATTGTTTTTGGCTTTTAACTAGCTTTCAGTAACTGCGAGTACTCTCAAATCGTACTTTCGTGTTAATTTGAACTGTTGATACAATTTGTAATGTATTTTTGTTATTTAATGTTTACTTATTCAGTGTTATATCTAGTCTCACTACTTTTAATATATACCACCTTTGATAAGTGTTTAGTATGACGATAAATTTTCACTTTTGTTCTCGTACTAGGAACAACAAAATTATTTATTTTGTAAAAATTATTTCCGTACTCCATGTATACCTTACAACAAAATTATTTTTATTTACCTGTGTACGTTATTTAATTTGGCGGCATTTTGTCCAAGGTTATGGTTGTCTTTTTAATATTGTTTTACATCTAACCCCCTTGTTTTATTAATTTTGTATTTACATTGTGTCATAGATCAAATTTATTCGTTCAGTGTATGTTCACTTGTTTTTGTTAATATGTCTTTTGATTGAGTTAAGCTATTTCAATTGATATTTTATAGTGTGTCCTTCTTTGTTGTGATGTTACACTATTCTTTCAGGTAGGGTGAAGGTTGGCGCCTATTAAAACGTTTAAACCCGCTGCATTTGTTTGCACCTGTCCTAAGTCAGGAACCTGATGTTCAGTGGTTGTCGTTTGTTGATGTGGTTCATAAGTGTTTCTCGTTTTTCGTTTTTTATATAGATTAGACCGTTGGTTTTCCTGTTTGAATAATTTTACACTAGTCATTTTTGGGGCCCTTTATAGCTCGGTGTGAGCCAAGGCTCAGTGTTGAAGGCCGTACTTTGACCTATAATGGTTCACTTTTACAAATTGTGACTTGGATGGAGAGTTGTCTCATTGGCACTCATACCACATCTTCTTATATCTATGTAAACAATCTTTATGTGAGCTCAGATATGTTGGATTGAGACGTACTTACACATAGAGTGTAAAGCGGGTAAATGTGTGTGTTTTTTTAACAGAAAATATATCCTAAATGTTTTATTTACTATTTGTCTTGATGGAAAAATGCTTTATCGTTCTAGAAACGGAAATCAAGAACAATGTTCAAATGCTCCTACTGTGAAGAAGAGTGTGATCAAGCATATGCTATGCTTGGTCACACAGTTATAAAGCACCATCATAGCTCCATTTCCATCAGAACTTAAAAGATTAAAAATTGACAATGTATATTTGTGAGGTGAACACATATTATATACACATTTATTCTTTATTTTATTATTATTTCAAAAGGATCGTATTAAAGCTTACAGATTCTTTATTTCGTTGTTTATTACATACATTGGATAAGTCCCCGAGTTTATCATCAGCTCAGTACTCAGTAGACATGATTTATAACAAACCTTTCAAAATTAGTTACCTCCAAGGGGGACTGGGTAATAGAAATATGGTCACTTATGTCCGTTTGGCTGTGCGGGATGTTCAAGTACTCAGCCACGTCCGGTCAGAACGGGGCGTAAAGAGAGAGTGCGACGATGACGAGGGGGGGGGGGGGGGGGGGGGGGGGTTAACGACCTTGATTACCTATGAGGGTCTTGTACGGTCGTTGAAAGAGTGCCACGCTCACTGCACGTTAAAAACCCTGCAACAGCTCTTTGAAGGGTCCGTAGGTTGCCTGTTGCAAGGCAAAATGTCTGTCCATATCCAATATACCTTCATTTTTAGTGGCAGTCTAAATTTCCCGACCTTTATCCCGAACGTCCTCTGTTAAAGGACCTACTTATTGGATTTATTGTTAATTTATTCTCGTCCTGAACATGCATCCGTTTATAAATCTAAAAGTTATAAAGAAACTAAGGTTTCAACTCTATCAGGCAAAGAAGTTGACCTTAGATGGAATTGGCTATTTTTTTAGGTCCTTTTGGTCAGATAGCATAAAGTTTGTAATTTATTATTTTCATTTTTTTTATTAGATACTCCATACTAATTTTTATTATTTTTTTTTTTGGGGGGAGGGGGCCTCTTAAAGCAGCATATTTGGGTTCATATTGAATTTTTCTGATTTTTTTTTCATTTTCCTTAGTTATCTTGCTCCTATGTTTTTTCGTCACTGTAATATATATCAATCATAAAATATTATTGACTGTTAAAACAAAGGTAGCAAAAAATGAAATTGGAAAGATTATGAATCACTGTATACTCGGTTCTTAAGATCGCTTTGAAAAGGACCCATCGATTTCGTATGTATTGTAATACTGCATTTATGGGAAAATGTTTTCAGAACAGAAAGTTATCATTAAATTGAAAAGAGTTGAACTTGATCAACATAGTAATATGTTTTTGTGACTTAAGAATATATAATATTGTCCTTTGTTAAATTACAGTTACAAACTAGAAAAAGTCAGGTTTTAAGCCCAAGAATGTCTTCTTTCTTATTCACATTTTCTTCAAAAAAACCCGGACCATTTGTTGAAAAACCCGGACGTTTTAAATGTTGCTCTCGAAAAAAACATGGACAATATAAAAACACTGAATTGTAAGTGAACTACAAGGAAATTGTGCGTCGTTTGTGCTCAAAACATGCAAAGCATTCAGAATAAGATGAACATCCACGAACTAAACTATTATCCTCGTGAAATAGCAGTAAATCGATCTGATCGCATGTATATCACTCGAAAAAACCTGATTTACTCGAATAAAACACGTTCTCAGCTGGACACTATACTTACCGTGTAATTGTTTGTATTCTCAGTGATTTAAAAATTGTTCATTCATACTGTGAGTTTGATAGTATAATCGATATCTAAACATAAAATCTAACATATCGATTTTCAACAATTTTGTGAAGTTACGGTTAGTTGAGTTTTGACTGCCAGTATGATCAGGCGAAAATGTCGGAAGATAAGGAACTTTATACTTTGCCTAGCATTTATTTTCTGCATTAGCTTGTTGCGAATGAATAACGATAAAAATGTACGTATGCTCATTAATACTAAATGCATTTAATCTGAATCGACGGCATTTACCCCAATCGGTGAAGTGTAATATTTCATGATAATTCCCACATTTTGTTTTATTAAACACCCGTGTTATATCAGCTTAAAACAATGCCAGAGTTAGTTAAGTAAATGATGCAGATATTTTATTATATGATTTTAATACAAATAACCATCCAGATTTAAATCTATGATAATACATGTACTTGATAATTATGATATTGTGAAAAAGTATAAACAAAAATACCGAACTCCTAGGTTAATTCAAAAAGTCCATCAACCTGACAAAGGCAAACGCACGACTATATCAACAAACGGAACGAACGGAAAACAACTGTCATATTCCTGACTTGCTATAGGCATTTTCCGAGGAAAATGGCGCGTTAAACATGATTTTATGGCTAGCTTGACCTCCCACTTGTATGACAGTTGTTTATAGGTCCGTAAAAGGGAAAATAAGGCAGATTTTGTAATAAGATCTGTTTGATGTGAATCGTTTTATTTGACGATTTGATGAAACGTTTTAACGTAAACAAGTTATTTTACAGCTACATTGTGCAATCTATTAAAAAACAAACTCCGACGTAAATTAAATAAATCGAATAGTAAAAGGTCAAAGCAGTCCAGTGTTTTCTTTATCAAACTGAAGCATACCCTTTTAAGCTGGAAATGAGCTTCTCTTCAAAATCACATTGATGTTTTTGCGAAAAAAGGGGTTTCATTGCTTTGTCTTGTCCCATTCCCAGTTATTGCATCGGTGTAAAGTTGGTACCACAAGCTGTATAACTCTAAAGTCATATGCTAATCTTGAGGGTACAGTAAAAACACGTCGTTGGAACTAATTTAGTCTTTGTACATCAGAATTGCATTACATCAAATTTGAAGAAAAACAAAATATACAGCTGCTTCGACAGATTGCCTACTTTCTTCTTTTTAACATAAATCATGTACTGCTATTGTAAATCAGTACTTTCGGCACCTCTTATTGGTATTTGTGTGCAAAATTAACACATACATAACTTGAACTTCTGTCGGAATTATCAAAGAATAACAATATTTTCTTTTTTATTGAAAGGCTTAAATATTTACTAGCGTTATGAATCAGTGCATTATACCTTTTTTTTCATGCTTTTAATGGCATATAAACAATATTATCATACAATATCTGTCTGCATGGGTTAAAAGTGAAATTTTTTTTTTCAATGAAACGAACGAACCAATAATGAAAATCGTTACTTTAGGTATCTACTCGTAGATTGATTTCATTTATGCAAAAGCATGATTTTTGTATTAAGATGAATTATTTGAAAGCCTCACATAACTAGCAGAAACAGGTAAAAATAAAAAAAATGAAAAATGGACCATTTACATGATTAATAAATTAACGTTCCTTTCGTGTTTTGTTTTCCAAGTAGTTTTTTATCCTATTAATATGATTTGCAAATAGCATTATCAAAGTTTTCTAGAGACAGTCTGTTCATCCCATATATTGCCAATCATATTACGCATGTGTTCAAGAAGTAACGTAAGCTTTGACTCCATACAAAGAATTTCACTGTGGAATTTTGTTTATCAGTATATCAGTAAATTGAGTAAACACATACATTGTTATTTCCTATGAGTTTCTCAAATGCAAGTATGCCCGTAACAGTATATTAGTCTTTTCTATGGTAAACCGATGGGGAAAACATCTCCCTAAAATTAAGGATATATAACCAATTTGTAAAACGATCTCTACAGATAGAGCAAATATCTCAAAACAAATATTATTTTAATCAATGATATTATAAAGCACAGATTTGAAGTTGTTTACTGCACTTAATACGTTATTAGTTTTGTATAGATTTCATTCATTACAGTTGTTCTTACATGGAAGCTATTTAACCAAGGTTTCCTAGTGGTAAAGTTGAAGTCAACCCTTCGAAAATTTCGTATGCCATCATTTTTGGTTGACCGTTATGGTAATAATTGTTTCACAAATGAACACTGATAGAGCCTAATTACCTTTTTATTTTTTTTTTATTTCAATCAATGTATTGGCATAAACAGTTTTGTAAATGCGTAATTGGGTGAAATATACTTGATTTTAGGTTGTTTTACTGTTATCTGATGAAAATATAGATTACAAAATATTTGACTCACTACACAAACTGTTCTGATTTTACTTCCAAATAGTCCTGAGATAGTCAAATACTGTACGGGAGGCAACTCTTGCAACTCATTATAGACATAGAAAAACATTGGTTTTAATGAATATAACTGTCGCACGAGAACGGACAAAAGGAAAATTTCAGAAAATTCTCTTGTTTTCACAACATTTTCCCTACACATTTAAGCTATGATTGAGCAAGTTATTATGTGCATAGAAATATCAAGATTTTTTAAAATGTTCCTGGTAATTGTATCACAATTTGAAAGATGAATTTTAGAGGCAAAGCTTAACTTGGTGATATATATTAATACATTGTCATTGACTTAAAATAAATTGTTCCATTTTTATAATTTTTTCTTGTTTCTGTGTGTCCGTACTCAAAGATACGTGCTAAGAAAGCATAACAATCCAGGATTTGTCCGTCAATGGCAAAACGAATTTCTAAAATATAATATTTCCCCTTTGCCGCCAATTGATAACTGTAAAGGCTAACTGGTATGGTAAAAATTGTCGTAGCCAAAATCTCGTCCTCTTTTCTGCGAATTTAACTTATTACCGAGTTTTGTACATACCATCAGCTACTAGACAGATGTACAACGTGAAGTAGGATATTCTAAACCTTCCCATAAATCACATAAGATCACCTCCGGTTTTCGGTGTGGTTCATGTAACTCAGTTGTTAGATTTCCGTGTAGTGTTTTAAAATTTGTCGTTTGTCTTTTTGTCGTTTTTTTTTCTTATTGTTTTGCCGGTTTCTCTTCGAATTATGAATTTATTTAGCCCTTTGGTATCTTCCGCCTTTTTCATTAAAATCAAGTTGTCACTTTAACCATGATCATATATTATTCTTGCTGCAAAATGACAAAGTACCTAAGTCTAGAAATGTAAGGAAAAGGTTCTCCAAACAATCACGATACCGAAGAGGAAAGCAAATTTTATGCAAATTTCAATGACCATCGATACAAACTGAGCAAAACTATAAAAAAATACAGAACCGATCCAGCTTTTAATGACGTATCTGACAATTTCGAAATTCACATTATAGTTTAGATGCAATCAAAAGGCAAAAAAAAAAAAAAAAAAGATATAAGGATTATAATAAACGTAACTGAAAATTCTTAGAGTGAATTTGATAGTATAACCGATATATATCTACGAAAAATCCAACTTCGGCTTTTTGTGATTTGAGTTTTGACTGCCAGTATGATCAAAAGAAAATGTCGGAGGATAAGGAACATTATACTTTGCCGATTGTTACTTTAAAATACTCTGCCATTTGGCGTTCCGTGCGTTACATATCAATGAATTGAATAATACAGAAGTGACTATGTTACATATTGATGGACGTTGAAATCATTTGTGAGCAAAAATCACCTTAACAGTTTTAAAGGAAAACTTCAAAGCGTCATGAAGTAGAATTCGTTAAATTGATGTGAACTTTGAATAATAAATAAAAAGAGACAGCAATGCAATTAAAAACAAACTATTTACACTTAACTTATTTCAAATTCACACTTTATAAAAAAAATTGGTCGAATAATTACTTCTTTTTTAAAAATCAGTTCCATTGTAGCAATATGTTTGATTATATATACTAGTATATACTTTGATTCCAAAATCTTACATTTATGTACTTTTTTCTTGAAATAAGAGATAATCAGAAACTTTCGGTTTACAAAAGTAACTTCCCCTTTCATATGATACGTTATTTCACAGTAATTCCAAAATTATAGGATTTTTATTTACTTTTGCCTGAAGTGATGGAGATATTTTGCCACTTCCGATTTACAAAATGTCTCGTCCGGTTTCATATGAAAGTTTACTTCACACTAATACCATCTACATATATAGTTTCTATGTATTTGAACCTTAAAGTGGTTAAACAAATGGCTTCTTCCGCCATACAGAAGGTCACTTCCGACTAAAATTTTTTAATATCATATGCTTGTCTTCCAATCTGATGTAAAATACCTTACAGTTTTATCATATACCAGTATGCAGTTTTAGTAACAGTCAAAATCGATTACGTCATATTAACCCTTGAACTTTACCTCAAGATATGAATGGTTTAGGAGTTATACTGTCGAAAAGCTTATTTCAATATTTAAGGGAATAAAACTCCTATAAGAATTCAACAAAGCACTTCGAACCAATGTATTAAAATTGCAACTTATCAAAACCAATAATATGACCAATTCTTTTTGTCAATATCTCTTATGATTTTCCAGGAATAGTGATAACAAGCAAAGTACAAAATTAAGAAAGTGACGTTGAACTTAGGGCCAAGGGCCACAAATTGAAAGACCCTAGGTCTCTATCATTTACATTCTATAAGATATTATTTGTTACACACTGTTCTAGTGAACTAATACGATATGTATGGGGTCAGCAAATTCCATATGGGGTGAGAGCGAAGCCTATCAAAGTGATCAAGTCTTCAATTTAAAGAACCAACTTCCATTTGTCTATACAAAAACAAATGCCAACAATAACAACTTGTTAGCTTTAATTGTGTTTTCTGAATTTATTTCAATCGTTCATCATCAATTTCTTCGCTTGTTGTCCGAGCAAAACGTTTCATATTGTGTTGATTTTATGAAGGGACGTAACACCACTACTAACCGTGTTATTAAAAGAAACCACGCCTACTTACCCCATATTAAATATACACGGTCTCCACGCAGTCGCTTTTAACCAATGATATTCCTAGAAATGTATAGGAGGTAAGATAGTATATATATATACATATGTCCAATACAAAAAGGGTACAAATCTCATATGTTGTCCCTGGATGGCATCGGTCTAAATTGAACCGAACTCATGAG